ACAGAACTTGAAACTAATCAGTAAAAACAAGAAAATAAGCACTTGATCTCAAGAACAGATCAGAGCTTAATGCTAAACAATCCACAATTTGGCAACGGCGCCAATTGATAACTAAGAGTTTTCAAGGCTCTTTGTAGAGGTTATCAATCCCCTGTCTTGTAGTACAAGGGGTTTATCAATCCATATGTGGTGTTAGACACTAAACTATGTGATCAGATTCTTAATTCAAGCAAACAAGAGTGGTTTTGATTAACTAATGACAAAAGAAGAACTAAACAATGACAAGTGATATGATTATGATATGATGGAGGCATGAGATTCTAGAGATGATAGTTGGTTAGGGTGCTTTGGTGCTAAACTAGAAATGCTAATGACAATGATGAGACATGATTCAAATGATTAAGAACTCTAATCTAGGTTAATCCTCTCATGAAGGTATTAACCCCTATACTAATCCATTTTCAAACCAAATCATCATTTGTGATATATGAATCAATATGCATTAATAAACAGTTCTAATGATCATTCAAACAAATAACAATACATCATCATGCAGCAAATGCTTAAACCCCTAATACAGCTCTTTCACGAATTTCATCAAACACTTTTGGTGCATGAAATTCCCAGAATCTAGATCTCAAGTGATATGCAAGGATCTAGCATAGAGAACAGCTGTTTAGAGAGATGAATCAATGAATCTAGCCCTAAGCACTCCTAATCTAACACTTTAGCACCCTAACCTACACATCTAGAACCTCATTAAGGTGACTACTCACTAATCATACTAATCTCTCTTAAACCTTTGCAAGTTGAGAAGATTGGCATGATTAATGATGAGAAATAGAGATGGAGATGATAGATTAAGAGGAAAACACTATTCAAATCGATATTAAACTCAAAAGCAAGGTATTAACAAGTGGTCTTTCACAAAAAGGGAAAAGGAGACTAAAAGTAGGATAAACGTTCTCTCCAAATTAGGTCTAAAAAGTATTTATAGAAGCCTTGGATGAACCGGGTCAACCCGGAACAAACCGGGTACTGACCCGGCCATGGTGGGTAAAGAATGAGATTGCCACGGTCTAGCAGGTTCTTGGTCAGGCCGTGGCAAGTGACCGTGTCAAGTCTTGTATCTCGTGTTCTTGGATGAATCATGGTGCCACGGTCTAGCAAGTTTGGGTCAAGCCGTGGCAGGTGGTCGTGTCAAACGCCGAAAGAACGCACAAAGTTGCCACGGTCAGATGTGAAGCTGTGATGCATGGCCGTGTCAAACGCCAAAAGCATGCGCAAGGTTGCCACGGCCAAGTCCTAGGCCGTGGCGTGGAGACCGTGTCAAACGCCGAGAAGTTGCACAAAGTTGCCACGGCCAAGTCTTAAACCGTGGCACAGAGATCGTGTCAAGTGCCGAATGTGAGTAAAGTCCTTCCGCGGCCAAATGTTACTTTGCCACGGTCAAGTGTAGACCGTGGCATGAAGATCGTGTCAAACGCCGAAGGACTGCAATTAAGTACCACGGTCAGGTGTGGACCGTGGCATTCCATCGTGCCATCTTTCCCTTAGAAAAATTTCAAAGCCAAGATAGGTGTTATCAATCTCGTATCGTTCAGGGCTCCTCGGACCACTTCGCGTTCAGGGCAATCAGATCGTGGCATTCAGATTGTGTCAACCGCTGAAGGATTGCAAATAAGTGCCAAGGCCAAGTGTGGACCGTGGCATTCCATCGCGGCATGTTTCACTTAGCTCGCATCATTCAGGGCTGTTTGGACCACTTCGCATTCCGGAGAGTGTAACTTCTAAGATAATTGTCCGAATTGTGTTCTTCCGGTTTCAAAGGACAGAGGACTCATATACCTTCAACTTTGGTGAAGGAAGCTTCGGTGCTTGGGAAGTGGAAGGCTTCCTGGAGGGCTCATATTCGCAGTGCATTTACACGATCAGAGAGAGGCGTCTAGACATGTGTCCATTCCGGAGACCGTATCTTCCTGATCATAGCTCCGAATTGAATGATCTCGGACGTTCTGGAAAGAGGACTCAAATATCTCTGATTCTCATGAAGGCCCCGGAAACCTAATCGGCCTGGAAGTGCACCGTCCTTCGCATTGTTCGGAGCTTATCGAGTTCGTCCAAAACGGCAGCGAGACAGGAGTTTCTTCCGACGAGCTTAACTTTCTGCTCACGCGTCAGAATTCCATGATTCCACTTGCCCTGGAACCGTGATCCAATCCTCCCCAACTTTTATGAAGCACCCGACAACTGAATCGGACAGGAAGGTTACCCGGATAGGCGATTTCGGAAACGTGTCTGCACCCGGAGATTTTGGCCGATAAATCCATTGGCCGGTACGCGTTTTGGCCGACAAAATCCACCCGCAGTACGTGAGAATGGCCGAGAAAAACCTTCCTGGTGCGCGAGAATGGCCGAGAACCTCCAAAAACCCAATTTCACCATTTTTCAAGCCTTGATCACCATTCCACATCCTGGATTCATCTTTTCAGCTCCAAATAGCTCTAAATACACCTGATAAACACTCAAAACATGCGAAGACTCATTGGGACCTAATGCATCTCCTAAGTTCTAAAACAAACCCTAAGGACCTAAAATGTATGAAATAAAACATGATTTGGAATGAAATATGCAACCTAAATGATGCAAATTATGAACATATCAACTCCCCCACACTTATCCTTTGCTTGTCCTCAAGCAAAAAGAACAAATGAGAGAGAGAGGTTGAATGCATTGGGAGTTCATATTTCCTTTTTGAGAGAAGTGATCACAATGAGAATTCAAGTTCATGCTCAATTATGCAATGCAAAGCCACACTCAGATATATATCAACTCAGCAAGGAATCTCCACAAGTTCTTCTCTCTCTCAACTCTTTCACATTCATTAAGCTTTTTACCAAGTGGATCAAATGATGCATTGTCTAAACAAACATAGTTTGGCTAGGGTGAGGTTATGAGACTAAAATGATCTCATCAATGCTTGAGTGGGTTCAATGCAGCAAAAGGATCTCTCTATGAACGACCAAACTTTGGCAGAATGCTAAAGGTAAAAGGCAACCTATGCATACAAGGGCAAGGACTCATCCCACCCACACTCTACTCAAAGTTTCCTCACTTGCTTACTTTTCACACTCATTCTTCTCTCACTAGGGGATTCTCTTTTCCTTTTCATACACAAGTGTGTGAGCCAGAACTCGCACAGCCAGAAATTTGTTTAAGGAAAACTAAGGGATCGGAAACTTCTAGGGTTTATCGTCAAGAACAGTAAGATCGAAAGAAAGTTTTTCTTGCTGTAAAAGTGTTTAGCTCTTATTGCTTAGGGTTGCAAAAGTTCCCGAATGAATTGTATACATCGTCTATTTATACTAACTCTCTGAACCGCCTAGCCGAGAATCTCGGGAGAGATTTTCGGAATATTTCCTTATCGCCTCGTGCGGCTCACCACCTTTGTATTTCGCCGAGGGTTTTTATGAGCTTCGTCTCCCAAGGCCACGGTTCGTCCCATCATTCTCCTTCTCCACGGCTCGGCCCATCTAAGCTTCTCCACGGCTCGGGACATCTAAGCTCTTCCACGGCTCGGCCCATCTAAAATTCTCCACGGCTCGGGACGTTTGCCATTTGAGTCGAGACGTGAGCTGGTCCACCTCACCGAAGCGCGGCTCGGCCCAGGCGTGTTGGAGAGGGGCTCGGCCCATTTCTTGTGATATGGCTCGGCCCATCTCTCTTTTCCTCACGGCTCTCCCTACTGGCCTATCTTCACGGCTCTCCCACTTGGTGAGAACGGCTCTCCCACTTGTCTTGGTGAGAACGGCTCTCCCACTTGTCTTGGTGAGAACGGCTCTCCCACTTGTCTTGGTGAGAACGGCTCTCCCACTTGTCTTTCTTCTATACTTAGTCATTTTGAGATGGTCTTATCTACGTGGGGTGAAAACCGACCCCAACAGTTAGCCCCCCAGCTCGTCAGTTTCGGAGGCGAGAGTGACGAGGTCCATTACTCCTGACCGTAGGATAAACCATCGAGTCAAGCTGTTATGACATAAGCCCAGATGAGGTGTTTTTGGAATGATGACGCCGAGGCGTTTCCAGGGAGTGCCGAGGGTGCCGAGGCAAGTTTAAGGACGAGGCGATTTTGTTTGGTAATGATGAGCCGAGGCGATTTGAGAAGGTTATGCCGAGCCGAACAAAGTGCGAGGCGTTTCGAGGAAAGTTCGTGCCGAGCCGTTTTTGTTAACGACGAGGCGTTTTAAGAGAGGGAGTTAACGCCGAGCCGTTTTCTTAACGACGAGGCATTTCGAGAGGAAGTTCGTGCCGAGACGTTTCGTTAACGACGAGGCGTTCCGAGAGAAAAGTTAACGCCGAGCCGTCTCGTTAACGACGAGGCGTTTCGAGAGGAAGTTAATGCCGAGCCATCTCGTTAACAACGAGGCGTTTCGAGAGCAAAAGTTAGCACCGAGCCGTTTCGTTAACGACGAGGCGTTTCAAGAGCAAGGGTTAGCGCCGAGCCATTTCGTTAACGACGATGCGTTTCAAGAGCAAGAGTTAGCGCCGAGCCGTTTCGTTAACGACGTTCAAGAGCAAGCGTTAACGCCGAGCCGTTTCGTTAACGACGAGGCATTTTCTTTGGTGAGACACCGGATGAAAACTTGGATATCCCAACTGTTGGTCTTCCGAGAGAAGATTCCTGATTTATTGGCGCGTGCGACCGACGCAATTCGATCTAGCCATTTCACTGCGGATTCCACGCGCTGTTTGGAAGGTTTCCCGAGGTTTACGCGGAATTCACCCGCTTCGGTTTTCCTATAAATGGGTGAGCTCCTTCATTCTTCCTCATTATCTTCAGACTCACTCGTTTTTACTAAAGGTAGCTCTCCCTTCTCTCTTCTTTCTCTCTCTAGTTTATTTATTTTCCAGCTAGAGTTTCCGAAGTCTCCGCCGTTCCAGATCTTTTTCCGGTAGAGACTCGCCGAATTGTGCTGTAACTCTTGTAAAAGTCGTAAATTATGTCGAGCTGCTCCGACGATTCATTGGATTCACTTTTTCATTACGAGCCGAGCCGCGTAGATGCCGAGGCGAGAGGTACGGCGGAATCCTCCGAGGCGTCTGTTTCGCCGAGCCCCTCCAATCGCTCATCTGACGAAGCGTCAAACCAGGCAAGCCCATCAGATGTTGGCTCTCCGGATGGCGAGCCGTCGGTTTCGACGAGCCATCCCCAGGATCCCGTTCCTGATGAGGAAATTAACCGCGCCGCACTCAAGGCCAAGGAGGAGGCATTTCCCTTTGACCTTTTCGAGGCAAAGCTTGAATTGGAACGTCTCATGGCGTCTCGAGGCGCTTCCACGTCTGGGCGAGGGCCAAGAGTTAAGAGACAAAAACCTGACCCGCCTGGATCTACACTCTGCTCCCTTGAGTCGCTCGAGGAGTTGAGGCATCGCTTCGGGATATCCGAGGCGGTGGAGTTCGTCGTTCCAGAGAAGAGCGACCGAGCCGACAACCCTCCAGAGAATCATTTCACTCTGTACGAGGCGTTCTTCGAGCTTTGCTTCCTCTGGTTCCCGATCCCCGGAGTGATCCTCAAATATCTCTGGAAGCACGGGATCTCGATTGGGCAAATCATGCCGAGGGGATTACGGCATATGATCGGCATCTTAGTTCGAAGCTTCGAATGCGGAATTGATATCGAGCTGAATCACCTGCTGAACTTGCTGGAAGTCAGGAAAGCTCCGAAGGGAAATAGATTCTATATTTCCAACAAGGCGAAGCGACGGATCATCGGCGGTTTTCCCAGCAAGGATCAGTTTTGGACCGAACGCTTCTTTTACGTCTTGGTGAACGAGGCGTCGATCGGCGAGAATTACGTTCAAAGAACCAAGACCGCTTAGGGACCACTTGGTAGCCGATCCGAAGCTTTGCCTCGGCTCGAAACTATTTTTGGTATCTTCTACCTTTTCTGAAATTTTTTCTTTTTTGCTTTGTTTTGCAGTTCGGTGCTTTCTTCCCCCGATTCCTGACGACCTCTTTACTGTTCGAGACTCTCTTTCGGCGCGGAAGGTTAATTGGAGAAAGAACTTCACCCTCAAAAGAGTAGAAAAAGCGCGAGCCATCCTCGCCGGAGTCCCCGTCAGCTCTTCATCCTCAAGTTCTTCAAGAGATACCCGGGAGAAGATGGTGATAATTGCTCTCAGAGAAAGGAAGAGGCGCGAGGAAGAGGAGGCCGCTAGACGAGCTGCCGAGGCGGCTCATGCGCAAACCGAGGCGGTTCAAGCCGAGGCGGTTTCAGCGCAAGCCGAGGCCGTCCCTCAACCCGACCCGCCGAGCCGGGAAGGGGATGTAATGGACCGAGTCGCAGAAGGCAACACTGCCGAGGCGGCTGAAAAAGATGCAGCGCCCGAGGTGGAACCGGGCGAAATTATCCCGAGGTGTCTGGAGAAGGCTCGGCGGCGCGGAGTAAGACTCCTTTGCACTCCGCCATCTTGGCCCTCCTGAAGTCGACGAGGCCACCGACTTCTGTTGTTCAGAAGCATGACTCTAGCCGAAAACGTTCGGCTACTGACAAAGGGAAGGGCATCGCCGTTCAGAAAGACGAGCTGTCCAAGAAGAGGCGGAAGCCGACGCCCGAGGACCCTGCCGCGCGTAAGTTGGTCGTGGACGACCCCGACGCCTCTGCCGTCATGTTCTCGCGTGTAAAAAACGCGAGCACGTGCCTTCCTCCTCCGGAGAAGCTGAGAAGGCCGAGGTCGTACGGCGCGATGGCACAGCGCGGTACCAAGGTATGTTATATTTGTTTTCCTTTATTTCCGCTAACTTTTACTAAGTTTTTAACGCGAGTTTGTTCTTTGCAGTTTGTTGCGGCCATTAACGACCTGATGGCCGAATACGAAGCGGACTTGTCTAAGGTCGAACGTCGCTTAGACGAGGCCCGAGGCGAGACCGCGGCATCAAAGGCGAAGCTGGAAGAGGCCCAGAACGAGGCCGCGGTGGCGAAGGGGAAATTCGACAAGGCGATGTCCAGAGTGTCGAGGCTGGAAGAGGAGAAAATAGTTCTCCGCGCCAACGTTGACAAAGTTTCCGCCTCGGTGATTCGCCTGGAGGAGGCAAGAGGAGCCAAAAGCGCCGAGGTGGCATTGCTGAAGAGGCGTATCAAGGCCAAGGACGCCTTGTTTGACGTCAAGGTCAAGCGGGCGAAAAAGGAGGCGAGGCGAGAGCTTACGGCGAAGTTTCAGGAACTCCTCGCCAAGGTGGAGGAGGGTTTGGCCAAGCTCGAGAAGGCCAAAAACGACGAGAACGATCTGGGGCAAATCAAGGGCAACCTTGCGATGATTGCCATCCTGAAGAGACCAGACGCCCCGACGCTCGATGATGAGGAGGCGCAGCTAAAGAGCTGGGAGAGCGAATATGCTGACGACGACGTGTATGAGCGCGTTGCCTTCGAGATTCAAGGCGAGCTGGTTTTCTCGCCCGTATTGCCGGATTCGGTCGACACCAACCTAGGTAACGAGCCGCTCGAAGAGACAGCGGCCAACTTAGGCGTCGTTGATCCGAACAGATCGAACGCGGGCACGCCGGTCCTCTCGAACCTCCTTGCCGAGCGTGAAACGCAGTCCGCGGCCTGATATTCTCTGCTTTTCTTTTGTTTTGTCTTTCTATACTTAGGATTTTTATCTGCTTTCCGAACTTTTTATGCAATTTTTGCCTGGACGGCTTTATCCCCCTGACATTTATTTTCGCTTATGGATATATTCTCTTTCCCTTTGCCGTTTTAGGATTTGAAGCATTTATTTTTAACGATCTGTACGAAAATCTATGAAAACCGTTGGCTTAGAGAAAATTGTCGAGGATGAAAACTGCCGCATAAAAAATGATTTTGATCGTTTTCCTTGGCCAAATCGATAGAAATATGAGCTAAGGGTCGAGTCGTTTAAGGATCTCGTTTGGATTCTTAATCCCGAGCTGGAAGTTAGTTTTGTGGAACATCTTTTAGGTGGTGCTGGAAAGTCGAGGCAAATTTTTGCTGTCAATGCCGAGCCGTGTAAACGACGAGGCGTTTTTCGCATTGCATGGTGCCGAGCCCTGTAGACGACGAGGCGTTTTTCTCGTTGCGTAGTGCCGAGCCGTGTAAACAGCGAGGCGTTTTTCTCGTTGCGTGGTGCCGAGCCGTGCAAACGACGAGGCGTTTTTCTCGTTGCGTGGTGCCGAGCCGTGTAAACGACGAGGCGTTTTTCTCGTTGCGTGGTGCCGAGCCGTGTAAACGACGAGGCGTTTTGTTTTTGTTGACCGAGGATGATTCGGTAGTCTTATTGATTTTGACTATGGACCGGCGTTTCCGAGAGGATGAGTATGTGTGTCCGGGTTTCAAGAGTTTACTTCGGTTTTAGAGAAAGCGATGTAGTCTCGACTTATAATCTCGTGTGCGATAGTAAACCGTGGCGACCTGATACGTTTTTGGTCTGATATTTGTATAGCGCGCTTAATTTTTATCCATAGAGGATGTAACTTGCACCCTCGTCCTAGGAAAGGTGGTAAAAGTCCGTTTAGAGAACTTTGTATTTGTTGCCCCGTTGTGGCCAGCAACGAGACAAGGCGTTCGGTGGCTTAGTTTGCCGAACTGAAACTGAGGACCATTTAAGGTCCGAGGTAACCAGGTCATGATTATTCGCCGAAGTGATGAGTGAAAGAATTAAAAAACCCGAATTTGTTACAATAAGTTGCTGATTTAGAAAGAATGAGAAACTAGCCGAAGCGATAATGAACAGACGTGAAATAAGTAGATGGTTTAAAACGAACTGAGAATGTGCCGAAGTGGCGATGTTCCTAAGTGAGCAAGCTAAAATTGTAGAGTTAAAAGAGGTATGTATACGTACCCACTCCCCCCCCTTTTTAGGAGGGGGGACAGCTGAACCCGTTCGATGACGGGCTGCCTACGTACCCTTTGCAGGGATCAAGCCGTCCCGTAGTTCGTGTTGGTCGTGCTGTATCCTTAGTGCTAGTATTTCTTCAGGTGCATTGCGTTCCATGATCTTGGAATCGCCTCGTCAGCTAGTGTCGCGAGTTCGTAGACTCCTGGACGAACCACTTTTGTGACCTTGTAAGGACCTTCCCAATTTGCTCCGAGCTTTCCTGCGTTCTTCTCGGCAGTATTTTGGAAGACCTTCCGGAGGACGAGCTCCCCTGCTTTGAATCTTCGGCTACGAACGTTTTTCTCGTAGTATCGCGCCGTTGCTTGTTGATAGTTCTGTATTCGAATTAAGGCTTGGTCGCGCTTTTCGTTGATTAGGTCGAGCTCATCTAGCATCATTAAGTGGTTCAAGCCCTCCTGTCCTGGTAGAAGTCTTCGTCGAATACCTGGGAAATCCACCTCGGCGGGAATTACGTACTCCGATCCGTAGACTAAAGCGAATGGAGTTTCCCCGGTGGCTCGGCGCGGAGTTCTTCGTTGAGACCAAAGGACTCCTTCGAGTTCGTCTGCCCACCGTCCCTCCTTGGCGTCGAGCCTCTTTTTCAGACCGTCGAGGATCGTCTTGTTGGCTGCTTCGGCTTGTCCGTTCCCTTGAGGGTATCTTGGCATAGATTTGCTGAGGCGGATTTTTCACTTCTCACAGAAGTCTTCGAAGCGTGTTGAGATGAACTGGGATCCGTTGTCGGTGACTATCTCGTAGGGGACCCCGTGTCGGCAGATGATATTTTTCCAGACGAAGTGTTCGACTTGAACATCCTTTATGCTTGCGTAGGAATCGGCTTCGACCCATTTGGAAAAGTAATCCGTGAGGACGAGCAGGAAACGCTTCTGCTTTGAGTGATTTAGAGGTCCGACGATGTCCATCGACCATCTCATGAACGGATAAGGTGATGAAATTGACGAGAGCAACTCGGTGGGTTGATGAATTGTTGGAGCGTGCCGCTGACACTTCTCGCACTTCGCTGTAAATTTCTCGCAGTCTTTGACCATCGTGGGCCAGAAGTAGCCGTGCCGTTTAATCTTGATAGCGAGCGACCTTCCGCTGGAATGGTTCCCGCACGCGCCGCTGTGCACCTCGTGCATGATCTTTCTTGCCTCCGGTCCTTCGACGCATGTCATGAGAGGCCCTGAAAATCTCCACTTAAACACCTCGCCATCGACGAGGACATACCGCACGGCCTGAGCTTTTAGTTTGCGGGCTTCCCATTTGTCGGTTGGCACCTCTCCATCGGTGATATACATTCGGATAGCTCCGAGCCATTCTTTGTCGCAGTCGTACTCCGGCTCGGCCGGTGAGGCGTCTTCGTCCATAGGAAAGGCTTCGTCGTCCTCTGGTTCTTGTTCAGGAGGATTTATCAGCCGAACTCCTTCCACCTCTTCGATGCTAGGACGTTCGATGAATTCGACTGGGATCGTTCGCTGGAGGTCTGGGTCCGAGGTGTTTTCTCCTCGGGGAATGCGAGTGAGTAGCGAGTCTCGGCGTCGCTCAATGCAGTTTCCGAGCCGAGACTACGACGGCTAGGGCAACCTTCTCGATCTGGGGGTAGCGAGTCTCGGCGTCGCTCAATGTCTGACTGATCTAGAAAATGAGCTTTTGCTCGGATCGTTCTTCTCTGATAAGCACTCCGCTTACAGCTGTAGCAGACACTGCGATGTAGAGGAAGAGCGGCTCTCCTTCGACTGGTTTTGCTAAGATTGGTGGGCTCGCCAGATAATCCTTCAATTCCTGGAAAGCCGTCTCGCATCGTTCGTCCCACTCAAATTTTTTTTTTCTTCGGAGGGTGTCGTAGAAGGGCAGGCATTTGTCTGTGGAACGGGAAATAAACCTGTTTAGCGCGGCGACTCTTCCTGTGAGCCTCTGCACTTCGCGCTTCGTCCTTGGAGAGGGCATCTCAATTAAAGCTTTGATCTGCTTGGGGTTTGCTTCTATGCCTCAGTGAGTTACCAGATAGCCGAGGAATTCTCCCGAGGTGACCGCGAACCTGCACTTTGCCGGGTTTAGTTTCATGTTGTGCTTGTTCAATTGTTCGAAGCATTCCCGTAGATGCGCGACGTGGTCTTCCTCCTTGAGTGATTTGACTAACATGTCGTCGATGTATACCTCCATAGTTTTTCCGAGCTGAGCTGCGAACATTTTATTGACGAGCCGTTGATACGTTGCTCCTGCGTTCTTGAGCCCGAACGGCATGACTTTGTAACAGTATATCCCGCGATCAGTTATGAATGCCGTTTTTTGTCGATCATCAGGATGCATTAGGATCTGATTGTAGCTAGAGAACGCATCCATAAATGTTAACAGTCTATTCCCTGCAGTGGCTTCGACGAGCCGGTCTATGTGTGGCAAGGGAAAGCTGTCTTTTGGGCACGCCTTGTTGAGGTCGGTAAAATCCACACATACTCGCCACTTGCCGTTCTTCTTCTTCACGACCACCGGATTTGCGAGCCAGTCCGGATATTTGGCCTCGGCGATTGATCCTACTTTGAGTAATCTTTCGACTTCGTCGTTAACTGCTTTGGCTTGTTCGGGGCTGAGCTTCCTTCTTTTCTGCTTCACTGGTTACGTCGATGCTTATGCCTGGCATATCTTCTGCTGTCCAGGCGAAAGTGTTGATGTTTTCCTTGAGGAGGGAAAGGAGTTCGCTTCTCAGAGGCTCTTCCAGTTTTGTTCCTATTTCGACGCATCGCTCAGGGCGCGCCTCATCTATACATACCGAGTCCACTGCGTCGCATACTGGCTCAGCGCGTGTTTCGCGGCTCTCCGTGATCTGTAATTGCTATAGGAGTTTCGAGAGCTCGTTCGCGGGCTCTCGGTCTGTCTTCATCTTTTTGCGGTCGAGGTCTGCTCGTGCGTCGGTGACGGGGTTCCTTAGCTTATGCTCGGCTAGGCAGCACATTCGTGACCCCTTCTGACTCCCCCCAGATCGTTTTAACACCTGCTGGGGTTTGGAATTTGAGGCAGAGATGATTAGGTAGAGGGTACCGCCCTCATCCCGTTGATCCACGGAGTTCCCATGATCACATTGTATATTGCTGGGTGATCGGTGACGCAGAATTCGACGATCTTAGTGACTCCGCCAGCTACCACAGGAAGCCTGATCGTTCCCATAGTCATCGTCGTTTCTCCTGAAAATCCGGTTAGAGGTTTTGGGATTGCTTCGACCTCGGAGAGGTCGATTCCCATTCTTCTGAGTGTTTCCCTGAAGATGACGTTCACCGAGCTTCCAGTATCGATGAGTACCCTTGCTACGTCATGATCCCTGATCGTTAACTCAATTACCAATGGATCGTTATGAGGTCGATCAATTCCTGTCGTTTCCTCCTCGGCGAAGGAGATCACTGTGTTTGGGATGTCGGTTGGTTCTGTCCAATTCTCCTTCGCTTCGGCTCGGCACTGATAGGCTTTGATGGAGGATACGGTATCTTGGTAGTATTGGGATCCTCCCATGATCATATTGATCCTTTTCCTCGGCTCGGGTCGCTCTTCAGGTTCGCCTCTCCTGTCACGCTTGGGGTTATCACCTCGTCAGGGAGGATTCGCGGGTTCCGCCGCGCCGCTCGGCTCGGCTCTCTCTTGTTGTTCGTTAGGGAAAAGGTCTTTGAGGCTGACCGCGTTTTGGAGCTCTCCCGCTGCCATCTTTGCTGTGAGCTTTGCTCCTA